CACACCTCCATGACCTATTAACCTCCATGACCGTTACAGTGGCTGAAATCATTTGTAGAAAAGGCATGCTCACAACATTAGCTTTGAGCTGTTAGGCAATGTGCATTTCTTCTTGCTTCCAAAAGCTAATTTAACATAGTTGACCTTGAATGCAACAGCATTTTTAGGAATCAATTATTATTATTATTATTATTATTATTATTATTTTGCATTACAAAAACACAAACACTAGACATCAGGAAGTTGCTTGATTTTTTGCCAACATTGATCTCCTGTTCTGGGTGTCTATTTATGCTGTTATTCTTCCTTCCTTGTAATGCAGCAGTGCTTTACCTGTCCACACCTGGATCAGGCTCCACTCAGGATCAAACAGGTGAGTACATTAAGGTGTTCACACAAGGCAGGAAATGAAAATAAATACTTATACAATCAAGTATAAAGTATCAAATCATCATGTCTGTGACCTTCTGAACTACAAAGTGAGTTTGAAAAGCCCAGTAAAAGTTTGGCCTTACTTGTGAAAAGATAGCTAAATGTAGATACTTATATCTAAATATTTGTCTATGTTTGTCAGTATCTGCTCTGTAATTGAGATATATTCTGCATTGTGTATTTTTTTAAGTATCTGTAGGGGCCAGTGCTGAGGCTGCAGACAATGTGACATATGCTGCTGTAACAGTAAACAGGAAGAGGAGAGGTATTTCACTCAAGTCCTGACATGCTTTTTTTTCTTACTTTATGTCAAATATATGTATAAGTACAGACGACAACAATGCAACACTACGTCATGCATGTAATTGGCTTAAAGTAATTTTTAATGTATAATTTCCTTCACCTTGTACATTAATGATAGTAATAAGATATTACTACTGTATTATGATCAGATAAGAGTCTATAGAACAGGGTGTTGTTGCCTTGTGTTAGATATGCATCTGCTGATGTCATGGTGGTAATTTGAGCTTCCTGGCCTCAAACCACAGAAAAAAACAATGAGAAAACAAGGTTCAGACCTGATAGATGAGTTTATGAGTTCACTTTATAGCAAATCACTTTTTATATCATTCTTCAATCTCCTTTTTTTATATTAAAAAGGAATCCTATTATTCCTTACGTGCTGATCTCTCACTTTGTTTTGCACAAATTTAGGGATGTTTACGGTTTAAATGTGGTATCACAAACATAAAAATGGTCAACATATAAGATCAGATAAGGTCAGGTCGATGTCATTTATATTTGGTCATTGAATGGTGAAAGTAGTGTCATATACATTTACGTAATTTACAAATATACATTTATGTGTCATCTGCATAATAATGAATAAAATAAAATGCAACTTTTTCTGGAGCTGGAGCCAAGAGGTGATTAGCCTTGCATAAAGCTAAGCTAATGTAAGCTAATGAATAACAAATTAAGTTAGAAGTTGAGGTTTTAAGATATTCCAACTGAGCATCCTCACCTGATCTATTTAGCTATCACCTGACAAACAATCTGTCTGTCTCCGTCAGATGAGAATGAATTTATGTCTACACACTGTTACTACATCCTGGGCCAGGATGACGCTCAAGAGCCAGGTGAGACTCACTGTGAATAACAACCTGTTTGAATGATAATAGTAGATGGGATCAGTATGAAAAGCATTCTCACAAGTGAACATTTTGGCAACACACTGACATAATCCCATGTTTTTTCAAAGCAGACCAGGAGCGTCCAGTATCACAGCCTCATCAGTTCCCTCAGCAGGTAGCGACCCACCTGTAGAAGGAAAGGTCTCCTACTCTGTAGTCAAGAAGGTAAGAGTGAGGACAGCACTGGCTTTCATGCCACATTCACGCCATATGCGATGGACGGTAGTGATTGGAAAGGCACCTATACATGAAAACTGAAAGATACTGTAATAGAAATAGAAAATGTTCAGCCTAATTTGGAAATTGTCGTATGAAGTCTATTTCTAGATGTAATCATCACTTTTTTTTAAAATGTTCCACATGTAATTTGAAATAAACCATATGTTAAAATTTGTAAACTCAGTAAATCAAGCAGTCGACCGCTCATACTTTCATGGTTTCATGAAGCGGTTTGGAGATAGTAATTCTTGTAAGTTAAAGTTTAGGAAAACAAAAGCAGTCTTGGTGAAAAATATTTTCAGGCCATTTTTCACATAGAATTCCTCAACACTTTCTCTGTATTGTGTCTTTAATTTATATAGAGAGAGAATGACTGAAGGAGGAGAAGACACATTCACAGTTTCACTCACTCAACCTAAATTAGCAACGTTGTGACATGAGTGCAAGCGGCGAGCAGAACAGGCATGTTGGGTATTATTTTTGTAATTGTACAAGCTGTTTCATTTCCCCATGTGTGTTACAAATATGTCATTATTTCTGCACAAATCTGTACTAATAATCTATAATAATAATGGAAGAATGAATGTACTTCATATGTCATTACTTTGACGAGCATGTTGATAAAGTGTTAGTGTAGTACAAGTACAACTGTCTGTACATTCATGAGGACAATAAACAGCGAGTGTGTTCATATTTCACCAATGAGCTTGACTGACACGGTTGTGAATACATGGGAAATTCTCAGCATTTTAAAATGGACTAATGTGGCTCATCATCATACAGCCTTCATCTGAGCTCTGCGTCTATATTTAAGAGGTGTCAGTTTCTTATGGTCTCACGGTTGAACCACTTTGTTCCATCAGCTCTGTCTGTCAGTGCATGTGATCACAAGAGAGCGGCTGCTGCAACGTTCAAACACTCACTCCCTGTGGTTGCATCACTATCGTGAAACAGACGCGCTGGGTTTGTGGTTGTCTCTGTCAGATTCTCGTTAGCAGGATGGAGTGGTCAACATTTGTTCATGCAAGGCTAAAGGTCACGAATGAGAGGTACATAATAAACTAGTACATTAGATAATGCAACTATTTGGTCACGGTGACCTCACAAAACATTTTTTAGCCATTACTTAAGACTTCACACAGAAATTATGACAACATTCCCCACAAATGGTTAATAATTAATATTTCTGGATAAACAGGGATGTAATGAAACTAGTCTGAGTGGCGGAGTGATACGACCATGAGGTGGTAATTCTGGTTCTGTTTTGTTTGACTTGCTTTTCTTTTTAATTCTTCCTGTTGTTAACTAGCTACCCATTTTGAACTCCAGTTTTTGCCATGGATGTAATAATCATGTAAGTGAGTTAGCAATGTTGGTCTGAGCTCTACCTCATGAGCTGGACGCCAAATATGTTGAATTTCGGTTGTCTATGAATTTATTGGTATCATATAAGAAATATTAATATTAAATATTAATGTTAAATAATACTTAAAAAATTAAAGCATGGGGCACCAGCTACAAATAGGCAAAATAGCAATATGTTTAGTCTCATATATATTCATTAATTGGAACTCTGATTACAATTACTTACTAAATAAATACAAATAACAGTAAGTTAAGTTGAAGATTGGAATTCTACCAAGTAGAGGTTGGCATTATAACGCTTGTGCAACATTAAACACACCAGTAGTTATACTTAAAGGCATTTATTTAAAATGAGCAGAGTAAAACACAATGTCTGATCTAGTATATACAGGTGTGTTGTATTTGTGTGTGTGTTGTGTGAGGACACAAACAAAGGCAAGATGGCGCATTCAAAGTGGTCACTGTGACCACATGACCTGAACAAAGTAGACTACACAAGATGGCGGTAAACAAAGAAACTACTCAAAATGGCCGCTGGACACCTGGGGTGTGTGGGAGGGAAGGTGTGAGTTTCTTTGTTAGCCTAGCTCATGTAATCTAAAGGTACCAGGTTAGAGGAGGAGGTTAGCTTCATGCAGGTTCTAGAACTGAGACGTACTGCTATGTGTGTGAACATACGAGTACCTGATTAACTGTATGACTGACCACAACCTAAGCAAACATTACAACAACAAGACATCAATCAACAAGTACATTAACAAAGTTAAGACTTCTGCTGCTTAGCTATGCGGTGCTGTGCTGGGAGAGATTAGGCCCAGTCAGTTAACGTTACCCAGTCTTGGAAACCAGCAAAGAGGTCCTTTCCAGTGTTGGTGTAAAGTCCAGTGAGTTGGGAGATTTCCTAGTGGAGTAAAGTCCTGTCTGGCTGTGTTACTTTGCAGTTATCTCCTTTGTTCTCCTCACAGAGTTAGCTGTTCCATGCTAACTCTGCTACAACTCCTGTTGCTTGGAAAACCAGCTGGCCTTGTGTCGTAGCTGCTGATTCTGACGAGGATTTGGTTCACTCACAGTTAATCCGAAGCGGGTCGCTGCTGTTGAGGAGAAGAGCGTTTGCAGGCTGCTGGTAGCGGGCCGGCGAGAGAGCTGGTTTCTCAGGTAGCAGAGCTGACCTGGGCTCGGGCCTTGTCGCCCTTTGAAGAACTGAAAGGAGAGAGCTGGAGCTGCTCTCCAGAGCAAGCCAAAGGAGAAGAGAGCGAGAAGAGGGCCAGAGATCTGGTTTTGTTTGGTGACACCCTTGGGGGTCATATGTCACACACTGACCCACGCTGGCTGGCCAGTAAGGTCCGTGGGGGGAAGGGTCGTCCCCAGGTGTGAACGGTGAGGAACTGTGGAGTGTGAGTTCCTTTGTCTAGTGGAGCAAAGAAACATTTGGTCTCTGGAATGATTGAGTCCCAACACAAACATATGTACAATGTAGTTCGGCCGGTGACAACATAACAGCTCCTAAATGAAAGTATAGAGGAGCCACACCTATGTCTGGAAAACTGAGTGAATGACATAATGTGGTTAGAAAATGTCAAATGTAATCCAAGATTCAGTAACAGAAATAAGTCACTACTTCCTCCCTCTAGTTTTTTTTCCAAAGATTCCCCTGAAATGAGACGACACGCAGCCTTGTTGATAATGATGCTGATGTCTCGTTATAGTTTCTTTTCTGATCATGAGACTTGACCTGTTATTCTAGATCATTTGAATATCAGTTACTGGTAAACAGTAACTATGATGACCCAACCCTGATATAAAAGCACAGGACAGGATGCCATGCCATTTCACATTGCTGTTACTGCACATTCTGACATTTGAGCTTCTGAAACGGTAAGAATCTCATTTACTTGACACTTTACAGAGAAGACTATAATACAACATTTTATTAAAGAATTAGTGATTTACATTTAAAATGACATTCAGTTTTTTCTGTATTCCTTGAATCAGCTTCTCTGTTGTTGAATCCCTTTTGTATTTGTTTGAATTTCATCAAATGCAAGTGTATTAGTAAACCTCAGTAACACACTGAGATAAAGAGGAGTGAGGACTTTCCAGGACTGAAACATGTCTAATGTATTTTTTCTCTTCCTCTTCATCCTCCTCATGACACCAAAGAGGGAGGGAAGGCACACATAATAACTGAGATGGAGGTGAAATGGAAATTATGTGGGTATTTTCTAACAGAATTATTATTCAATATTTTTTAATATATTTCCATTTATTTTGTTATCATGAGAACACTTTTTTGGAACTGTCTGGATAATGATTTTTCTAAGCAGCCATGAAGTACTTGATTTTAAAAATACTTAAGTGTTCAACAGTACATTTTTTAGGTTAACACATTGTATTGTTCCACATTTACAGAACCTAATCAACCTAGTGACTAACTGACTGTAGAGGAATATGACAAAGACTGTAGAAATTGCCATAAAAACACAATTGCATCAGCAATCAATAAATTGCCATTTTCATGGTCAACACAGCAGTTTTAAATATTAAAACAAAAAGAATCTTTCTTTATTTCTAAATGTTTCAAACATGGACTTAAGATAGGGCAATGAGCCATCATTAGGACACAGCCAATGTGATTGTTTTTTGTAATACTGAGGTAAAGTGCAGTTACTCGAAAAATATACTTAAGTTACCTCTACTTTGTTACTGTCAACCCCTGGTTGCATATCAATATGAATGAAGCAGAGTTGCATCTGATGGTATAATGGCGCATTGGCTGAAGGCTCACATTTCCTCTCATCAGTTCCTTAATCTATTCCCAGTCTGCGGTTAACACCCACTGAACGCTGTTTCTAGTTCTGCTTTTTCATCTCGAGGTTTTCGCTGGTGCACTTTGGATTTAATGACTGTATGATGAAATGAGGAGAGGTCAATTTTTTTAGCTGTATGTTAGAGGAATTTATGTGAAACTGTCTGGAGGAACAACTAAATAACTGATTCTCATTCATATTCTTAGCATCACTTGGATGTCTGTAAATGTGATGCAGACAAGGTCAAATATGATCAAGTGTCTCACATCTAGTTGCTCCACCAGACTTTTACTCCATCAAACACAACCAAATATCTGTGCATATTCAACAGTTAAAAGTCTTAAAGTGTGTTTTCCTTTCACTGTGCCGCCAGTTGCCGTCAATGTGCTGCTGCTCACGCTGTACCACAGCCACGCTGCAGCTTTCAGCATGAAGAAACAGCTGGCTGATTGTCTGGAAGACAAAGACTATGATGTGCTGCTGCAGACAGTGGAGACCGGCCTCCCACACATAAAAACAAATCATCGTGTTGTTATTGTCGGAGCCGGGATGGCCGGACTGACGGCCGCCAAGCTTCTGCGAGAAGCAGGACATGAGGTACATGGGTGGGGCATAGGAGAGGTAGCGGTTTTAACAAAGGAGCCCTTACAATATATAAAGAATGCAGGAGCCACACCAACTGTTAACCACTTCAGTTCATCACAAACAGCATTAATTAATCAAATTACTATAACATAATTACCACATAGTGATCCTGGGACCTCTTGGGTCCCTGATGGTCTGTGGTCCTGAGGAAGTTTCACACTTTGTTTGGTATTAATGCTAGCAGCAGTAGTTCTGGATCAACACAAGTAACACATTGTACATGTACTTATGTGTTTTAATAAGGTAACCATCGTAGAGGCTAGTACTCGTGTTGGAGGACGCGTGGAGACCTACAGGAATAAAGAAGAGGGCTGGTATGCTGAACTGGGGGCCATGAGGATCCCAAGCTTTCACAAGTAAGTTCAAGAGTCTCATATAAACATGTATATGCAATCTTCCCCCTCTCAGACTAACATGATTGACCTCCTTAACAGAATTGTCCATTGGTTTGCTAAAAAGCTTGGGGTCAAGTTGAATGAATTCATCATGGATTGCTCCCAGACCTTCTACCTAGTTAATAGGCAGCGGGCACGGACATACACGGTGAAAACAGACCCTGGCATCCTCAAGTACAAGGTAAACCAAAGCGAGAAAGGGAAGTCGGCCGACCAGCTGCTACAGCAAGCTTTGAAGAAGGTATGTAAGAAAGAGGAAAGGAAGGAGGGATGGCATCAAACAACACTTGACTGAAAACAAGAAACCTACTTTAGCAAAGCTTCACATTAAGAAAGAAGAAAGTTGCACAACTTCCTATGTCCTTGGAAAGTAGGTTGTGCAGGAAGCTATTGCTCAGAGTCACTAACCAAACAATTAGTTAGCACAATTCAAGCAAATGTATTCGTCTCTTTCATAGAGCAGTGTATCATCAGCATGATTTTCTAAAATTGGTTTATTGTGTGTGCATATTAACATGTTAACTCTTTATTAAGTGATGTCTCATATGTGGCAAGTTAATATTTTACCTTATAGTGATAATAATTCTGCTTCAAATGTTAGAATTTAACAGATCGACTGGTATTGCTGTTATGACGATTCAGTTTTGTCTTTATTGTTTTGTTCTTGTGCTCCAAACGTCATCCTATAAGTGCTCCCACTGGTTTGTGTTTCGTGTCAGGCCTGGGTGTATACTAGAGTTACACATTCCCAGTTTACTGTAGACAGATGTCAGAGCTCAGTTTGTGACTTTACCCATGGAAGAGACTTTTATTTTCTTTGTTGTAGGTGAAAGATGAAGTGGAAGCTAAAGGCTGCAAGGCTCTGTTTGAAAAATATGACCGTTACTCTGTAAAGGTAAAGCACAATGTGATCTAATGGAAGGTTGACAAGTGAGAACACTGTTAAATAAATACTGTGTGAATTCTCTAATGGTATTTCAGAGCATTACAAATAACATAAGTTGGGTGTGCCATTTCCAAATGTTCCTTAGAAACAGTCAACTAATGTTTCACTTGATAAACATGAGAGGCAACACCTTTGACTTAAGGCTTTGTTTGCAGACCGGTCTTTCATCCTGTATTTTAATGTTTGACTATGGTGAGTTATAATGTGACCTAAAGTACATAAATTCTGTGTTAAAAATAATATCAAACAATACACCTCAAACATTGGATTCAGAGAAGACAGAAAAATGTCCCGTGTCCTGTCACATAAAATGTCCATATTTGACTCTTTCCCAAGCTCTTTATATTTTGGAAAATATATACACAACCTGAAACTATTAGAACTGGAATCTGTTCCATCGGAGAAACCAAGAATAATACACTGTTGCTCCACCAGCCTCGTAAGTGTCCATCAATATATGATCTTTGTTTAATAGGAGTATCTGAAAGAAGAAGGAGGTTTGAGCTCAGAAGCGGTGAGAATGATTGGAGACCTGCTTAATGAACAGAGCCTTATGTACACAGCGTTGACTGAGATGCTCTATGACCAGGCTGACATCAGTGACAACAACAAGTAAGGCCTGAATTCTCACAATGACAACTACTGAAAATGGGCAGAATGTTTCCTTCACAGTGGTGTTAAAAATTATAAAAGCCCTTTGCCAGAAAAAGTGATGAAATCAAAAAATCTTCGTGATCTTTCAATAATTGTTCACTTATTTGCAGATGACACAATTTTATACATCTTTCTATTCACACACAGTCCCAGTCAGCTGAGTGACTGGTACTGTATATGTTGTTTCCATTGACTTCTTGAGAAGACATTGTCAACCATTAACATGCACTTGTTGGTGAGGCTACCCTTTGCTTAGCTTAGCTTAAATCATGTTGCAAAATTCTGTAACAGAAGAACACATACACGTGAATAAGTATTGATTAGATTTATTGGCTACATTAGGTGTTAGGAAATACCTATAAATGCAATGTTCTAACACATTCACTTTTAATTGCTTGCTACAAAAATGCATATATCTATCAACAATATCATAGAATCTATTTGGGTTTCTGTTTTGAAGGTACTATGAAGTGACTGGTGGGTCAGACCTTCTCCCCAAAGCTTTTCTCACCGTCCTCGATGTTCCCGTTCACCTCAACTCCAAGGTCAAGAATATCAGCCAATCAGCTAATGGTGTTACTGTATGGTATCAGAGAGATAAGCAGTCCTCATTGATGGACATTCACGCTGACGTTGTCCTGGTAACAACAACAGCCAAAGCAGCCCTTTTCATGGACTTTAATCCACCTCTCTCCATCAGTAAGATGGAGGCTCTTAGGTCGGTCCACTATGACAGCTCCACTAAAATCATCCTCACCTTCAACGAAACGTTCTGGGAGGACGATGGTATCCGAGGAGGAAAGAGCATCACGGACAGACCCTCTCGTTACATCTACTACCCCAGCCACAGTTTCCCAGAGAACAAGAATATCGGCGTCCTCCTGGTCACCTCCTGGACACCTGGTCCGACGACTCCCTCCTCTTCCAAGGAGCGAGCGATGAAGACCTGAAAGAGCTGGCTCTGAGAGATTTGGTGAAGATCCACGGCGAGCGTGTCAGGTCTCTCTGCACAGGGGTGGTGGTGAAGAGGTGGAGCTTGGATCCTTACAGCCTGGGCGCCTTCGCTCTGTTCACACCGTACCAACATTTAGAGTACTCTAAGGAGCTCTTTAGACGGGAAGGCAGGGTGCACTTTGCAGGCGAACACACAGCCTTCCCTCACGCTTGGATCGAGACATCTATGAAATCTGCAATCAGGGCTGCTACAAACATCAACAAAGAAGCGCTATTGAGTTCAGTGCAAGACGAGCTCTAGAGTCTGGAATACCACTTTCATTGAATATCAATGTGTAACCTATTTGAGTGTTTTGCAATGATTTAACAAAGAAAGATAATGTATCCCGACTCTATTTGGAGATATATACATTTACGATATACATTTTTGTCCCACCCATCCATTGTCTATACCTAGCTCATATTTTCAGGTCGCCAAGTCGCCAAAGTGACAATTTTTTTCTTCTTGCCTTGATTATATTCCTACCCCAGCACCTCTGTATGATGCATAATAAATCAATGTGATAACTCTGCTAAATAAAGAAGAAATCAAATTTAGTAGTAGTGTTTTCAGATGTGTGTGATTCCTAAAGATGAACCTTCTGCCTAAATCTGGCAAAGAAAGTGGTTTCCCACCTTTGCTGTCTGACATTCCCTTATCCCTATCAGATGAGCTCAAGTACCTCTTCACTGACTGCAACTGTCATGTTCCTCATGCTTTCATCACTTCAGCAATTGAGAAAATATTTTCTTCAAGTGACTTACACTTTGGGAGCTACTTTACAACAAGTCAATGTTCACCTTTCTTTTTTCTGGCTGAATTGTTAGATGTTAAAATATAAAATTTACTGTCGGGCATTTCCTCGTGGTAATAATAATAAAATTTCCAAGCAATAATATGAAACAACATTCTTCTAGAGAATCATAAAATCATTTATTTAGTGATGCTGACTACAGCCTGTGTTTGAAGCATTTGCCACGTGAACACATTGTTCTCCAGGATCTGTCAAATAAATTTCCATTGAAAAGGTTGTGTGGTAGAGCTGGGAACTTTCCTCCATGTGGTGCATACTGAAACTGAAGGACTGTGGGAATGACGAACATGTGGTTAGCAAATGAAATGTAAGACGAACAAATCATTTAAAAAAATTCCCATTTCCTCAAGTCAGTTGCACTTTGGGCGAGGTTCCCATAAGATAAAACACATTCACCTTGTTGTTGATGTTGAGTAATAGTACATTTTTATTTCTGATGATGAGATCTGATCTGGTTATGATCTCCTGATTGTAATAGATAGTTAATAATGAAACCAAAAACAAACCAATGGTTAAAAAAAAAAAGGAAGGAATGAAGTCATGCATTTTGAGGTCATGCCAATCAGGGGAGAACAAACATTCCAGCCTCAAGGCACAGTGCTGTATATAAGAGAGTATGATTTCACATCAGGTCACTATAACATCAGATTTTGAAGGTTAAGCTCCTCAAAAGGTAGGAATCTGTCATTTCATCTGATTATCCTATTATTCACATCTCACTAAGAAAACATCAGCGTAAGAAATTATCTTTTACTTTTCTCCTCTCCTTCTGAAATGAGAATTTATAAAAAGCAAATACTCATAGACTAGAAGGATATATACCATACATATATTACACACACACACCAAAAACTTTCCTATTCAATGGAATGGGCAAATAAATTAAATTTTACAAAAAACGTACTATATTTATTCATTATATTATTATTTAGTTATTATATACTGCTGCACAATTTTTCTCTTGCTCCTCCGGAACACTAAACATTTTCCCTCCCTTGTGTTTCTGTCTCTCTTCCTCCTCCTCGTGTCACCAAAGATTAAACCAACATGGAACCATATCTGGCGAAGTGGAAATTATGTGAGTATTTTTGCAGCATTATTTTTGTTTTTTTATTATTATTATTCAGACAAAGCCTTGAAGATCTGGACTATCTGGCTGCCCCCTCTGTAATGTTTTTGAAAGCTTGGGGGGTGCAGTGTGCACAAGGTTTGGATTCTTGTGTAATTATTCTGTGCTGTACGTGTAAATGTTGCTGTCATCATTTGGTTGATCCACTTTAAAGTTACTGTAGTTCTGTTTTTGAGGCGCTCATGAGTTCAGTTTTAATCAGTTTCGGTTTCATCACCACATGATGAAATAGGGAGTGTCCCGTTTTTATTGGAATTTACAGTTATATAAGTCACATAGTGACTAGAATGAGGGGGATTTTTGAATTCACTTTTGACTGTGTGTAGTTTACAGAATTGAAAACCCGTCTCATTTTAAATAATGCACACTGCTGTTACTTTGAGTACATCAAAAGTTATACAGTATATTCGTAAGTATTCAGAACCCTTTTATTTGTTTGTAGCTTTATGCTAAAATCATGAAATTAACTTTTTTCATCAATAATCCAGACCCAATACTCCATAATGACAAAGTGAAAACAGAATTTTTTAAATGTTTATTAAATAAGGAAAAACTGAAATATCACACTGAAAATGAGTTTGAGTCTTTTTATGCCGCTGTGTCTCCAGTTGCTTTTAGCATGTTGCTGTTCACGCTGTGCCACGGCCACGCTGCTGCTCTCAGCCTGAAGGAGCATCTGGCTGATTGTCTGGAGGACAAAGACTACAAAGTGCTGCTGAACACTGTGAAGACCGGCCTCCCACACATAAACACGTCTCATCACGTTGTTATTGTTGGAGCTGGCATGGCCGGACTGACGGCTGCAAAGTTACTGCAAGACGCAGGACACAAGGTACATGCAACAAGTTGATACTTTAAAGCCATAATGATTTTTATGTTGGCCACTAGGGGGCAGTGATACATTAAAACAAGCTGATACCACTGGAACTGTATAATTCCTAGAGGTCTTTAATCTGTTCCAGGTTGATGTCTCTGCAAACAAATGTATTTAGCATAGATGTTTGTTTAAATAAAATTATACATTGCATGATAATGATTCCTGTATTAATTAAATACTCTCTAAGTCCAAGCTCAAATTGTTCCACCGTGATGAGACACAGATATGCTGTAATTCCCTGTACAGAATTATGGAGAAGAGTCACAGAAATAGAAATAAAGTATTTTTTCAATCAACAATGAATTGTACAATAAAAATAGGTATTAATAAATGTGGTGGCAAATTAATTTGTTTATCTATAAGTAATTCATTATCTTTATATTGTGATTGGTAATAAAATAAGGAGTTATTTAAATAACAAATTAAATATTAATCCATCATTAAGTGTTTCAAATTATAAAGGAGTTTACAAAAACAACATAAGAGTCATCGATAACATCATATAAAGATACACAAATGAATCCATAAAAGATAAAGGAATTTAAAAATCTATTTGAAAATGCCATTAAGGCAAACAAATAAATAATTGGATTCACAGATTGATATAAAAATATAGATATTAATCATGCATTTAAATTGGCAATTACAATTTCTTTTACTAATTTTATGTTGTTTTTGTAAACCCCTTTTTAAAATTTGGAACCATGTATTAATGGATTAATATTTAATTTGTAAATTACTTTTTACAGTTCCTTTATTTGTTGCATATTAAAATATAAATCAATTCGTAAACAAATGATCACAAATTTCTTCTTTTATTGATGTATTTTTTGACAGAAAAATTCATTTTAAAAATCAGGAATCAGACACCTCTGGCTAACCTTTTTATTTTTCTGTTTGATCAAGGTAACCATGTTAGAGTCTAGTGGGCGAGTGGGAGGACGTGTGGAGACCCACAGGGATGAAAAAGAGGGCTGGTACGCTGAAATGGGAGCAATGAGGATCCCAAATTTTCACCAGTGAGTCAAAATTTGTCTCAAATTTGCAAGTTTTGCGCTCAAAGCAATATCAGTGTTCATTTTGCTACATTACCTACATTTCACACAACCTTTAGCAAGTCCAAAATGTTCCTTGTTGGGTAGTTAGCATGAGCATGAATATCAATAGTCAAAGAAACTCATGGATCATTAACAGAAAATTCCAGTACTTGTTGACAGGTAATGTTTTGGGAATGGACAGTCTGAAAATGTCACAGCAATAAGCTCTTGTTAACATTGGCTAAATATGATTGAGTAATGTGTAGATGGGTCAAGTACAAACAGTCTTCCAATCTACTCAGTTTTGACTTATTTGCATGACTTAACTAAAGTTGCTCAAGAGAAGAAGGCATTCACTGTCTTAGCTCTCATTTTGCAAACTTGTGGCCTTGTGTCTCAACAGCATTGTCCGATGGTTTGCTAAAGAACTGGGGGTCAAGCTAAACGAATTCATCATGGAAGACCTCAACACTTTTTACCTGGTCCATGGTCTGCGGAAACGGACCTACGCAGTGAAAACAAACCCCGACATCCTGAAGTATAATCTGAAGAAAAGTGAGAGGGGGAAGTCGGCCGAAAAGCTGCTACAGAAAGCTTTACAGAAGGTGGGAATTTGTGGTCTTTTATATACAGTATATGCAAAGAGTATCTGATACCAGAACCAGCTGGCAGATTATGCCCTGTATGTCAGATTTGAGTAAATCAATTCATTCCTCTAAATGTAAATCATATCGACTGTTACCTTACCTTGGGGGCTGAAAGCAGTTTTGTGTGGTTGCATCTTATTTGATTATTAAAATAAAGCTCAGAAAGTTGATGTTTTTTCAAATTTGAAACCACTGATCTGGGTCAAAAGACATTAAGGTTAAAACACACTCAATTTTGCTGAATAATGAATATGATTTATTTTAGAAAGGTTGCATATTAGAGTTTAGATTATGGTGATACAGGTTGAGTGTGTAACTGTGATTGTAACTTGTAACTGTAGTTGATCTTTTCTGAAGGTGAAAGATGAAGTGGAGGCACATGGTTGCAGAGCTGCGCTTAGGAAATACGACCACTACTCTGTGAAGGTGAAGCAAAATGTTATTTCATCAAATTCTGCAAAGTACAAAGTCTAAAAGACGAGACCGTGTGCTGCCAAAAAGTATCATGTGAATTGTCCTCCAGCACAAACTGGATGAGGACATGGGACAAGAGAACAAAGGTTTAATGAAAAAAAAAACTGGTACAGTTTGAGTTTAAGATTACGGTTGAATTTTAAGGAGTGGACGCTAAATGTAGAAAATATTGGTGTTTGATTTTACAGGAATATCTGAAGGAAGAAGGTGGCCTGAGTGCAGAAGCAGTGAGGATGATCGGAGACTTGCTCAATGAACAGAGCCTCATGCACCTGGCTCTCACTGAGATGATCTACATCAACAGCGACGTCAGCGACAAGACCAAGTAAGATCAGTGGATTTAAAGCATTTTTGCATCTGTCTTTTAGCCAGGGAATACTAATCTATACTATTACTAATACTAACTATTATAGAGAGGGGCAAGATCCAATAAGTACTTTCGCGTACTTTCAGATAGTTCGTCAAAGGTGCTCATCGTGTTGCACTCATTTGGAGACATCTGGCAGTTGTTCAAATCTTACAGAAATTCTCGCTTCTGCACACCTGACCAGCCACAAAGATTTGGTCAAGATAGATTCTGAAACAGCTTGTAGTTGCTAAATCTTAGTAACTCTTCCTTTCTTCCAGTTAAACTGCTTTGGCATATGGGTTAAAGTTATGCTTGTTGGCATGACTGCGTAGACTTTGCACCTTGAAGACGTGGAGGATCATCAGCTGCTTCTGTTTTGGGAGATAATTGTTGGTTCGTAGCCAGTTTTGGATCTTGAGTACGACTAGTTTCTGTTGTTATTCGGGTTTATTGGGGCAAAGGTAGGCAGGTCAATCTTTAGCTAACCTCCATATATCAGTACTGCATTTATTGTCATTTTTACTACTTTTAATTGCACCCTTACCATGTCTGCCACATGCTGTGATTGGCTCAGGCCGAGTGAATATGACCATGTCTGTGCTCGGTTCAGTGCAATAAAGATTTGTCTGTTTCTTTTGAAGGTACTATGAAGTGACTGGTGGGTCAGATCTTCTCCCCAAAGCTTTTCTCACCGTCCTCGATGTCCCCATCCACCTCAACTCCAAGGTCAAGTGTATCAGCCAATCAGCTAAAGGTGTTACTGTATGGTATCAGAGAGATAAGCAGTCCTCATTGATGGACATTCACGCTGACGTTGTCCTGGTAACAACAACAGCCAAAGCAGCCCTTTTCATGGACTTTGAGCCACCTCTCTCCATCAGAAAAATGGAGGCCATGAGAGGGGTCCATTACGAAAGCTCCACTAAAATCATCCTCACCTTCAACGAAACGTTCTGGAAGGACGATGGCATCCGAGGAGGAAAGAGCATCACGGACGGACCCTCTCGTTACATCTACTACCCCAGCCACAGTTTCCCAGAGAACAAGAATATCGGCGTCCTCCTGGCTTCGTACACCTGGTCCGACGACTCCCTCCTCTTCCAAGGAGCGAGCGATGAAGACCTGAAAGAGCTGGCTCTGAGTGATTTGGTGAAGATCCACGGCGAGCGTGTCAGGTCTCTCTGCACAGGGGTGGTGGTGAAGAAGTGGAGCTTGGATCCTTACAGCCTGGGCGCCTTCGCTCTGTTCACACCCTACCAACATTTAGAGTACTCTAAGGAGCTCTTTAGACGGGAAGGCAGGGTGCACTTTGCAGGCGAACACACAGCCTTCCCTCACGCTTGGATCGAGACATCTATGAAATCTGCAATCAGGGCTGCTACAAACATCAACAAAGAAGCGCTATTGAGTTCAGTGCAAGATGAGCTCTAGAGTCTGTTCAATCCGCTTTGTAGGGAAATCAGTATTATAGTAGCAATGAAATGGTCGCTTCAGATACAATCAGAATTTGATCAGTAGAAAAATTACATGGACACTTATTCTTGTTGATACACTGCTTTAAGGGCTGCACCCAACAATTATTTTTAGTATTGATTTTTCTACAGATTATTTTCTCAATTAATTGATTAATTACTCATGAAATGTCACAACTTCACAGAGCCCAAAGTGACGTCTTCACATTGGTTAAATTTAATTTATTTACTATTATTCATGGCAAATTTGGGAAGTTTAAACCAGCAAACCGTTGAAAAAGCACTAAACTGATCAATCATTTGGAAGAGAGGCTGAGAGCCTCCTCTCTTCTGATTGGCTGACCTTATTATCATTAGCTTATTATTGTTCTATCAAATTAATCACAGGAAAAGTGGAAAATATGGGACCCTTAAATACATCAACTGACCTTCATGACTTATTACACAATTATGCTTACTTTCAGATCAGTCTTTACATTTCATGCACTCAGTCAGGATACGAAGATTGGCACAACACATTGATTTATTGCAAAAAGCATGATTTTTACTTTACATTTGACTTCATGATTAGTGATTGTATACAGCAATAGGCAGCCAATAACAATGAACAATAAATACAAAGAGAGAAAGAGCCAGTGACAATAAGAAAGAAAGCTGTGCTCCAAAACATAACCAGGAAGCCCAGCATGTGTTACAAGGAACGAACAGTTAAATTTGTTCAAACAAATTAGCAGTTTGTGCTATAGTATCACTCTTGTACTCTTTCAGGCCCAAATGTGTCGTTGATGCTCTGAAGGTCTTAATTTTCACCCTCACATTAGCTCATTTGAACTTTGTGTTCTTAATTTTTCCTCTAATACCACGTCATTCATGTGTATGCACACACTTGTAAACTGAAATTATTAGTTTATGCTTTTGAATTACTGGGCACAAATTAGTAGCATATGTCATGTTCTAAATAAACCTCATGGACATACTTAGTATTTTGCATGTTAAGCAACATTGTTTTAACTTTCACATCCTGTATATATAATTAACATGCTAAGAAAATTATTATGTAATTTGAACTACTTGAAAACAAAAATTGCTATCTGCACAAGTTAATAACCTACAAACATGTACAGAGCAGTTTTCCCGCTCTGTGCAGAAACAGCAGAGGCAACAGCAGACTGCTGGGCAGAGAGAACCAGTTTGCAGCCACCAGCAGAAGACACCCATCACTGTAACTCAGCAGTTCTGACCTGTCCAGAGCAAGACCTAAAATCGACCCTGCAAGCCACAACCCCAGCACCCCCATAATGGCTGTGATGGTGTAGAAAGCCCTCTGCTTTGATTGGTCAACCCTCACCCTGTCCCCACCCACATCCCCTGGGCCTGGACGAATCAGAACACGGATAACACAAAGGCTGCAGAAACAGACAACAACTAAGGAGAAGCCCAACATGCAGAAAAATGGGATGTAGGGAATCTCAGGGAGGTAGAGAGCTGTTAGACCAATCCATCCGAAGCCCAGCAGCCAGACACAGCCAATGCTGATGTTTCTGAGCCTGACGCCGCCCGACTGTCTCAGCTCCAGGTAGGTGATGGGGTGGACGACGGCCAGGTATCGCTCCACACAGGTCAGGATCTGAAAGCACATCTGTCCGGGGTAAACAAAACCAGTTGCATAAATGCCCACCATAATCAGCTCGGAGAGACCAACGGCTAAGCCACAAAAGTAAAAGATGGCCGCCAACATAACGACCAGCTCCACAACAACCATGTGGTAGGTGAAGATGTCAGAGTGGCTCAGTGTTGCAAAGGAGCGCTGCTGCCGCCATCGCCGGTGACCAAGGTAGAGGACGAGGGCGGAGAGGGGGAGGAGGAGGAAGATTCTGGTGATGGTGAAGGCAATGGACATTAAATTTGCACTTTCAGAGTCCATGCAGTGGGCCACAGCACTGACGGAGGAGGAGGAGTTGACTGACATATTGGCTTGAGCGGTTGGGAGAAAAGAGTGAACAAAAATAAATGAAATGGTAGAACAGTGTTTCAGTACTGAATGAAAATGTTCACCTGATTTACAGCTACAACACAACCCTTTTTTTATTTGTCTTTAGCCGTTTCACAGTGTTTGTCTACAACAGCAGCAGTTACATCTGCCTCAGCATTGTGATGCAATTATTCTCCATGTTTCAGTTCGTCAGTGTGTATTTTTGCAATGTCTTATCAATCACGAAATAAATGAGCATAATATTGCTGTTTATTTATTGTATATAAATTAACTGGAATTAATTTAGTCTCTTCCCTTTTCCGTGTAAATGCGAAGAGTCTTTTATTTTATTTCATCATTTTCATCACTTTTCCATTTTCATGCAAAGTTAGACATTGTAAGTCTTTCTTTTCTGTCGGATATTGGCCTCTGTAAAATGTTCATAATGTCATGGAAAAACATTTAAATACATGTTTAAAGAAAAGATCTTATTGAACTAAGTCTGTTCTTCAGATTAAAGTTCAAACAGTATTGATATTTTGTGTAGTGACCCTCAAAAGGCCAAAATATGAGTAATGCTCATTTAAACAAAATGTGGACATAAAGTTAATGTTGTGAGGAAAGCATTGTAAAAAGTTACCTACGTTAACATCTGTGGAAAATCAAGCATTTGAAATATGAACTGAGAACCGGATTGACGGACACGCACCTGGTCAGCAGCGTTTGTGTCTGATCTTCTGTCTCCTGTATCTTCAAACTCACTGACTGTGGCTGTTCACAAGTATCTGATCCTGATATACATTGATGCTTCTCTGTGTGTGTGCGTATTAATGGCGTCTATTCGTCAAAGTGACCAGCTGCAGCAGGACTGTGGGTGGTGCAGTTTTGCCTGCTGTCAAACAAATGAAGGACACTTATGTATTGTAAACCATGGCAGACAAATGATCCTTCCATTAGGAGGTCAGAGCGCAGGGTCAGCAGCACTGGTGGTGACGATGCTTTAACACAGCAGGGATTATACCATCAATCATACATTTAAAATCGCTGTATTTTTCTTTTAGATTAACGTACAAACATGGAACCTTTGAATCTGTCGTGGTGTGAAGATATTTCCACACCAATATCATCTATTTGTCATCCATTTAACCTGTTTGACAGGATTCAAATGACCCGCAAACAAAAAGACTGCTGTTTATTCAAATTAGATAGTGTCATGCACACAGGGCGCGTCGGTGTGTGCAGAAAGCCGTCTTCATAATGATCGTGGCCGTTCCACAAATAAAGCTGTTGTCATTATTAAGAATCAAGTACATCGACTTGAGTTCTGTACTTGAAAGTGCGTTCAGTTGTTTCAGAGTCGTCAGGTTCTGTAAATGAACTGTGGAACAATACAAGGTGTGGACATCATTTTTTATTTTATTCTTTTTAAAGCAAGTACTGACCATCTCTTTCTCCAGCTCTGCTGCCATGTTTGTCCATCGTTCAGCAGTTTTTCCACCAGTGAAAGAATATTTAAATAAAACACGTACATACTGTCGATCACAATGATAAGTCGAATTCTATTATATCCTAATCCTGATCTATTAATTACATGCCCAATTAAATAAGTGTATTAAACACATATATTTCATACCTTTTTCATTATGTACGTATCGTAACAATCTGCCCCCTGATTGAGTCATTTGTGTTTTCAGTATCTATGGAGTCCTGGAATTCCCAAAACAGGATTTGTTTTTATCTGCTAACAAGATTCAGATATTGTGCAATAAAAAGGTTTAATATTTGACATCATATAGACTGCTATTATTAATATGTTTATATTCTTCTTCCTGACTAATTGATCTAAATCAATTATTCAAAGTGTTCTTAGGGCCTGAATGTTTACTCCTCTCTCATCTCAATAGAAAAGTAAAAATCTAACACATAACTTCTCATTCGTAGGATTCACAGAAGTATTTTAAGCTACTCTGCCGTCCAAAGGTTCCCTGAAGAAGATCTAATTTCACAAACTCTGATCTGATCCAAGTCCTCATCCAGACTCAGTGTGGTGTTCACAGCCTGGTAGTTTTCCTGCTCGGCGTAGAAACAGCAGATAATAGTTAACTTTGATTATTACAGATGCAGCGGTTTGTTTTCTACTGAAGAAATCCCAACTGGTGGTTTATCAGGCGTGCTCCAGCCAAACCTGCCCAAGTGCCCTGTCTGTATAGGAGATGGAATAATGCAAAAATAAAATTTGCCTGTCTGATTATTTATTTTGCGATATGTGAAAAGAAAACAAACTCGTCCTGACACCTGTCACTCTGATTAAAAATGAGCACGCCCTCACCAGGCGAGTATGAAGCAGATATCAGTGGAGAGCAGCTGGTGATGCTGAAGACGCTGCTGACAACGTGAGTGTGATTTAATAACTGAAACAGGTTTAACTGTTATAAACCTAAAACATACAAAATGCAGCTTGGGAGAAAGATTCACTTTATATCTCTCTACAGCTTCTCCTTCCTTTTCTTCCAGACGAACAGATATGTCAGTCAACTCTTCCTTCAACTCCTCTGATTCCTCCCTCCATCTTTTACTCAACCATTGCTCAGAATTCAGACCCAGCACGTTCAACTTTGTGGCCTTCAGCGCAGCCAACGTTCTCCTTCTGCCTCTCTTCACCTTCGTCCTCTACATGGGTTACCAACGCTCGCTTCCCAAGTCAAGTCACTCGGACATCTTCACCTATAACGTGGTTGCCTTGGAGATGCTCAGCATCCAAGGGTCTTGCATTTATTGCGTTGGCGCCTTAACAGCTAGTCACATGCTGATTCAGATGGCGAAGGACATGTTCTCCATCACGTCAGCTGGACAGAATCTGTTTCACGTCCTCACCTGTGTTGAGCGCTACCTGGCTGTTGTTCACCCCGTCACCTACCTGGGCCTGAGACAGTCGGGCGGGGTCAGGATCAGAAACATCAGCATTGGGTGTGTTTGGCTGATTTCCTTTGTATTGCTAAGTGGAACGAAAGTGCTCAGGAAAGTTTTCCCTGGTGTCGTAGCTTCCTGCCGCTTGGTTTTCTGCTTACTTGTCATCTCTTTCTGCAGCCTGTCTGTTCTCTGTGTTTTGATTGGCCCAGGGCCCGGGGATGTGGGCGGGGACAGGGAGCGTGTTGACCAAACAAAGCGGAGGGCTTTCTACACCATCGCAGTCTGACGTTACCTCTGCTGTTCCTCCACAGAGCAGGAAAACTGCCAGGCTGCAGACACAACACAGCTAGATTAAATCAAACTGCATGAGTTAACATCAGATTACAGCCTATAACTCTTTCATTGAAGTAGATTTCAACTCATCTGATTTATATTTTATTGTGTTTTCACTTGTTTCTTCTCAGAATTGGTGAAATCCCAATAGATCCCATTGTTGTGTTATAATACAAATACTCAAAATAAATCTATTCTTCTTCTTTGAAAAATATATTAGCATATAGCAATTCTGTCGGTCATTCCCACGCTTGTCTGGACTAAAAGCTCTGAAAAGCTTATAGATGGATTGCTGTGACATTTTTGTCCTACAAAGTTTGGCGATTCCCCGATTTAAACTCCAGCACGTCTGTGAGGTTGATACTTCTGGTTATTATTGAAATGATTCTAGAACTAGTATGGTTTAAATATTCATGGCGCCCAGAGGATGAACCCTAAAGGCTTTGGTGATCCTCAGACATTTACAATAGCAGCCACTAGCAAGTCGTTTATCCTCCAATATCTCAACATCTAGTCATTGGATTGGCACCTGTTTTTGTGTGGACATTCATGGTTCCCAGATAATGTATCCTCATTCCTCTATCATCACCATGAGTTTTATTTTGAGTGAAATGTCTCAACAACTATTGGAAGGATTGCCATGAAATTTAGTACAGACGTTCATGTTCCCCTCTGGATGAATCGTAATAACCTTGGTGATACTTTGTCTGTAGCTCTTTCATCAGGTCAACATGAACATGGTAAACATTACACCTGCTTAACATCAGTATGTACTCTTGTGTGTTGCAGTGTGCGTAAGACACAACTCTGTTTTTATTTGGTTGTATTTGATTTCATTTAATGAATCAAACATGACACTAACCCTCTAATAACATACACACTAAGATCATTATGAAGCAGATTTGACAAAGCGCTTTATGTTCTGTACACAGTCTTCATGATACTATTTGAATAAACACCTGTGTTTACAGATCATTTGAATCCTGTCAAACATCGTGCACTGATAAAATGAAGCACAGCTAAAGGTTATGGAAATATGGAAATACTGCGTCTGTAAAAATCAATGCTCTGTTTGAATAAAAGGACTTGTATATGTCTTTTTTACACTAATGGAAATAAAACTGCAGCCTGGTGTCATTTTTAAAACAATTACTCAATTTCCCAACTGTTTCTCTGATTATTTTGCTTTGAGTCAAGTCAAGTATTTTTTATTTTCATTGTTAAAAAAAAGACAGCGAAGCAACAAAAATAGTACTAATAATAAATAGATACAATAAATAGCTAAAATAGTATCAGTCAACCTGGTGCTACTTGTTTGGATCAACTGTAGATCTGATAAATGTTGCTTTTGCATTTCATAAACTGAAGAATGATGTGCTGTGATTTACAGCGGAGAGTCACAGTGACGCTACAGAGTCTCACAAAATCCTGTATTTGTGTTGCGTCATGCAAAAAAGCCCACAGTCCTGCCGCTGCCTGTCACTCCGACACATCAGCGTCGTTGTGTGTGGGCAGTTCGGAGACGCTGGAGAAGGACAAACTCTATTGACGAGGTAAAAACTTATAAAACTGATTTAATGCCTCTTAGTAGTCTTAATAGTTGGTCCTTGTTTTTTTATCAATTCTCCAACTGTTTACTGGTCAAACGTTTTTATAAACTTCCCTCCAGTTTTCATGTTTTTATTGAAGTTTCAGAATTAGGTTCAAGTCCAGTGAACAGCCTTAAATAATGTTCATATTTTGTGCTTTTGAACGTCACGGCACAAGATACAGAATACCAAGTGCTGTGGACATTTCTGAGTGTGCTGTTAAATGCTGCAACAATGGCAGGTGCACAGAAGGTAGACATAGTATTCAACACCTGTACAATCTGACGTAATAACCTGTGTTCTTATCATTTTAAAATATTATTCGGAACGTGTCCGTGTGTTGTTGATTTAACCATCGGTACCTTGTGATATTTCCTTGAAAAAAGGTTTGAAATGTTTTAAGATGCAAATCACCATGTTCCTGTAAATGCAAATGCATTTGTTTTTTGGCATACTGTATTAGCATAGCGTAGCATGTTGATATTATCTACGTAGCTTGGTAGGTGTCACTGGGGGAAAACATGAACCATTTGAGTGAAATTTTGTCATAATTGCTGTGTGAAGTCTTGAGTCATGGCTATACAGTGTTTTGTGAGGTCACCATGACCTTGACCTTTGACCTTTCAAATTTGGTACAAGGTCCAACTGATTATATTTTGGTGGACAAAGGTCGTAGTTCAAGGTCACAGTGATATCACATACTTGTAAATGTGCAGGAACGCCCCAGATATCGCATTCACGAAGCCATAACCGTGTTTTGTCTCCTTGTGACCTTGACCTTTGACCTTTGACCACCAAAGTTTAACCAGGTGATCCCTGAGTCCAAATTAACGTTTCTGCCAAATTTGAAGAAGTTCCATCAAGGCGTCACTGAATTATCTTGTATCTTACCTTGAACGAACGGACAGACAACATGTCTCTGACGCAAACGAATAAAAACATGGACATCTACCTTTATATGATATGGGACCTAAACTCTCTCTCTCTTGCCCCTCCCTTTCCCTGCACCTCCTGTCTTCTGATTTCTTTTTGCTGCTACCTACAGTAGACATGTCAGTTAATTCCTCTTCCGCCTCCAACTCTTTCTACCACCTGTTGTCCCAATGCTCCAACTCCACAGTTACCAGCACTCACATGGGCTTTGCAGTCCTTGCTGTGAGAACCATCATCCTCCTCCCTCTCTCCGCCCTCGTCCTCTACCTGGGTCACCAACGATGGCGGCAGCAGCGCTCCTTTAAAACAACCAGCCACTCGGACTTCCTCACCTACCACATGGCTGCCATGGAGCTGGTCTGGGTTTTGGTAAACCTCTGCCTCTTCTGCAGCGTGTCTGATTTCACAGAGATGACAATAGTAGGAATCTACATCTCTTCAGTCATTTTCTACGGAGAGGTGTTGTTCCACCTCCTGACCTGTGTGGACCGCTACCTGGCTGTTGTTCACCCCATCATGTATCTGCGGCAGAGAAACGCTCGTGGGTTGAAGATCAGAAACATCAGCGTTGTGTGTGTGTGGCTGCTGAGCTTTGGGTTTTTCAGTTTCGGATTTCTGTGCCCGCCTGCCTACGCCATCATCCCGTTTTCATGCATTTTAGTTGTCTCCTTAATAGCCATGATTTTCTGCAGCCTTTCTGTTCTCTGCGTTCTGATTCGCCCAGGGCCAGGGGAAAGAGGCGGGGACAAGGAGCAGATTGACCAATCAAAGCAGAGGGCTTTCCACACCATCGTAGTCATAATTGGAGTGTGGACCTTGTGGTTGGGAGCGCTCCTTGTGCTTGTTGCTCTGGGCACTTCACCACTGCTCAGCAACAGTGTTGGTTGTGTGTTGGCGTCGAGTGCAGGATGGTTTAATCTGCCCTCCTGTGTGTTGTTACCTCTGCTGTATCTGCACAGGGCAGGAAAACGGTCATGCTGCTCTTATCAAAGTGAGTAAAGACCAGGATTCAAGTCTGATTTAATTGACTGGCTGTATCTGCAGAAGTTTTTGAGTCCAAGTGAATGCTTATCCCAAATTGGAAGAAATTCCCTCAGTAACTGATCAGGCAATCAATCAGGTGTTGCAACACCACTAACGTTGAACATCATCTTACATCTGATTCGGCAGAAATTCCAAAGTGAGTCTGTGGCGACCACTGAAGCGTTAGAATTAGGATTAATACTTTTTATTTCACCTACAGTGATACAGTTGTAAAGTAGGAGAACCTCTTGAGGACGTCATCACCGATATTGCCTGACAAGACATATTTCTACAGCTGGAAATTGTTCTTAAAAAGGGCTAAAGGAACTGATTTTAATTCTGATATTCACGTTTCCATAGAATTTCTAGGATATTACATTTGCCTTAGTGCATACTTCATGGTTACTAGTAGCAGCTCTCAGTTGTGGCAGCACTACTCAGAGACACATGATCTAATCTAATGTGAATCAGGGAGGTAGCCGAGTGGTTTCATCATATTCACTGTATATGTGTTGTAGCATCAATGTATTCAAATTATGGAATAAATATCACAACAACACTTTTTACTTTGTAAATGTGTGCGTTAAAATTAGTTTTGGTCGTGTAATCTCTCAATGTGCAGCACATACGCTAAACTGAAGCGGATGATTAGCATGATGATGATGATGATGGAAGTGTTTTATCAGTGGCTTTGTAATTAAAAGCAGAGACATGAAAGTTCAGAGTTTAAATGGTTTGTCTCAGATTGTCTACTTGTAGAATGAATGCATTTTATTTTCTTCAGATGCTGATAATAAATCAATATGTTTGATGTACAAACGAATGTTCATCATTTCCTTCTCAGACTCGACTCCACTATTCAAAGCCTTGAGTTATTTAGCTGAATAATTTATATATAATTAAAACAATGTTGGGGGAAAAGACCTTTATTCATGCTGCATTTTGAAAATGTAGAAATGTAAAAGGATCCATGTTGCTTTTATTTGGATATCTGTGAGGAGGCATCCTTCTATGATAAAGAAAGCTCTGGATACAATAACTCTGTAAAACCTGTCACCTGTTAGATCACTTTGAGAATTCATTGATTAATTAATTAATTTGTTTGGTTTTTCTCCTTCACAACACATGCACACAAAAAAACAGCTTGACTCTGCAAAACATTGACTTTATTAAGGATGGACTTGGTTATGTGACATATCCAGAGCAGGACTTTTATTGTGACATCTTCTCTAGTTTAATGTGAAACTTTATATTTTATTTTAGAGATATAAATTTGAGATTTTTAGTCAGTCTGTGAAAAAACATGAAAATCTGTGGGTTGATGTGTCAGTTTGTGATATTCAGATAAAGAACTGGAGCAGAACGATCAGTGATGACTGTGATTACTGCTTTAACACGTTCAGCTCAGAAGTCGTGCTCAGTGGTGACATCAGCTGTGACGTTGACATAATCTTCACTAGCGATGCGCTTGGCCATCTCACTGGAGACAGGTCGTTTCTTTCCTGTGGGTGGAGTTTATTTATTTATTTATTGTTTATTGTTTATTCAATAGGAACAATAAACAAAACATTTATTGTACCAGATATATTAGCGAGACAACCAGAGACGCAAAGGTTGCAGAAGTAAAAGATCAGTCAGGTGCGGTGAATTAAAACTTCACTGTCTGATACTCAATGGGTGTTACACATTTCAGTGTGTGTGTGTGTGTGTGTGTGTGTGTGTGGTTGCTACCTGTCCTCCTGCTGCAGTAGATAGATATCATTAGGACAGTGGACACGCAGTACGGACAGAAGACCACTAGATGGCAGAGCAGTGTCTGCAGCGACACAGAGGGAGGAGGGAAGACGCCTAAAGGAGAGGACGAGCAGTCAGACAGACAGGCAGACAGACAGGCTGAACAGAGGAAATGTATTTTTATTATTAAAGTGACTGTGATTCGTTTCTTTAGGACGAGGTTTTGCTTCCATCAGCTCACCTGCAGAGACGGTCAGTCCAGACAGCAGCAGAACAGCCAGGCCTGCAGCAGGACAACATGGTTACTCAAGAGCAAGTACGTATGAATCAAGTGACTGTTAATGTTTCTTGTCGGAAAGTCGATCAAACGAGTAGAAAGAGACACAACACGAGTAAAAACAGACACACAACAAATAAAAGAGACACAGCACAGGAATGACGTGATGCAAAAACACTAAAAAGAGAGAAAATGAATTTGATTAAATAAAAAAGGACTATAAAGAGAGGCGAAACGACCACAAAGAAACAACTGCAAGGAGATGCAAAATGAGTAAACACAGATTCCAAACCACTAAAAAGACTCACTCAGCTACAAAGAGACAAAATGAACATGATCGTCTCATGTTCATTTTGTCTCTTTGTAGCTGAGTGAGGTCAGCGTGGTTAACAAAGGATGAAGGTAGAGTGTTACATCGGCTCACCTGCAGAAAATGCCAGTCCTGACAGCAGCTGCACAGGCAGGCCTGCAAGGAGGACGACGTTACTAAAGGTCAAAGGTCAAACCCTCTCTCTCCTGATACATAAGGAGCACAGGAGGATGTGCAGTGATGATACCTTCCTAAAGTCCAGATGCTCATCTGATCTTTTTTTTTAACATGTTCATTTTTAAAACCTTTTAAATTACATTTACTCACAGGCTGCACGTCTTCCTGCCTGTCTCTGCTCTAAATGTGACCCTACAGACTTCGAGGAACCGTTACCCTGGTGACGACAACCTTCATACCCGTTTGTTTCCTACAGAGCAGCAGAACTCCAGCCAGGAACAAAACCACAACCATCAGCGAGACCAGAGCCGCCACAACCTGGAGGAGGAGGGAGGCGAGAGAGGAGGGCGGAGGAGGAGGAGTAACAGGAGAAGGTGTAGAGTGGTGGGGAGGAGGAGGAGGAGGAGGAAGAGTATCAGGAGAAAGTGTAGAGTGGTGGGGAGGGGTGGGAGTGGTGGGAGGAGAAAGATCTGCAGGAGGAAGCAGAAGAAAACTCCTTCAGGAAAGCGACGATTGAGTGTGTCATATAATCAAATACAGGAAGTGAATGTTAGTTTCCTGACCTCTGACCGTCAGCCGGCTCTGCGAAGACGATCCGCTCAGGTCGGTGGAACAAGAGTAGAACCCGTCATCAGTCTGTTTGACTTTGCTGATGGTGAATTCTCCTTTATGTCCCGACCCACGCTTGACACCATTCATGAAGAAATAAGCTTTGCCTACGGACCCGTCTCTGGCTCTGCAGCGCAGTGTGATGTCACTTCCTGTCTGCACGGGACGCAGGGGAATCTCCAGGATCACATCTGAACAACAAGACGACACAAACACAGTTATTCTGTCAAAAGTTCAGCTACTTTCAGGAAGTTCTCAAACAGGAAACGGGGGCGCAGACGGAGACACATGAAGTAAAGATACTGAGGTCAAGGGTCAGGTGCATCCAGGTGTTTCTGAAACAGCAGGGAGTTAATGTTGTCATCGGCCCTGCTTATCAACATGATTAACGGTTGTTCAGCTGGTGGAAGCAAATAAAGTTAGTGCCAGTCGATTCTTCGTTGCTTACTCTCTCCGAGGATATCGTCATCTCTTATGTCCGTATTCAATAAACATTCATAAAACCAATTAGAAATCACAGGCAATAGACGCTCATTAGAAATGCAGAGCTTGCTTGAGAGTCATCAGGTTTTTAGGTTGTCATCAGCGTCACAGTAATCCAGTGATCGTTGTCGGTACATCCACGGGGACGTTCAGCATGCTTACTTTGTTGTAGCCCACAGCTTAACTCACTGAATCTACAGCCACGTTATACTTCCTGTTTGCAACTCCTCAGATGAATGTTGTGAATATAAAAGCATTTACTGATATTTCTAAATGACTCAAGAATTTCGTTTCTGTACCAGACACAGTGATGCTGAGCTCGGGACTCTTCTGCCCGTCGTTGTTTTCACACCAGTAAACTCCGCTGTCCGTCGATGAGGAGAGGACTGAGATGATGCAGGAGGATTTGTGAAGACGCCCAAAATCTCCTGCACCGTCACCACACCTCTGTGTCCTCCCCTTCACTGTCCTCCTCACTGTCCATCCAGCAGAGCTCTGCTGTCCCTCCTCACAGCGCAGAGAGACGGACTCCTCTGTCAGGAACTGCAGACGGTTTGGACTCACATCCAGAAAGACTGGAGGAGAAACGGACAATCAGACCTGGAGTGAAGGTATGAGGAGTTGGACGGAGGAAATGTGTTCACCAGCGTTTTTCACTTCCATCAGCTCACCTGCACAAACTGTCGGTCCGGACAGCAGCAGAACAGCCAGGCCTGCAATAGGAGCACACGGTTACTAAAGAAGAGCGAAGGTCTGCCGCCTCAAAGACCTTCAGTCAGCTCGGTTAATAAGCTCCAGAGGCATCCACAGGCCTGATGGGATACCGAATCCCTCCCCTGGTCTCATGGGCGTCCCCAGGGAGACCACCTCAACTGCTTCCTCTCAACATTAAGGAGCAGCAGTTCTCGTCTGAGCTCCACCACCCACTTTGACTGTTATCACCCCATTAAAGGGCCGTCATCAGTCGTCATCACTACAACATTTATGCTTCAGAAGGAGCAATTATCATCAACATTAGTTAGGTTTTATAATCAGGCAACGTTGGTGACGTTAGAGCAACAAAGTCGTGAAACACGAGGACTTTCAAACAGGAGACAGCTGTTCGATGTTAGTTCAGTTAGTTAGTCCTGTTTAACAGTTACTGAGTGGACCTTGTGTTGAGGTTGTCGCGTTACTCCTGAAGTATATTTCCTGTACCTCATGTTGCTATTGTCAACACGCAACTAAAAACCAAACCACTGATTTCCTGCTTTGTTACTTTTCTTTTTTGCTGTTATCTACCACCATTTGACACAACCCACACACATCACTCACACAGAGGTCTCTGCACTTCCTTATAATCTGTGGTTTGTGACCACGCTGAGCTAACAACATCTACAGCGGTGTTAGAAAGTATTCAGACCCCTTCACTTTGTGCACACTTTAATGTGTCTTTTCATTTTACATTTTTACCCATTCATCTACACTCACATTTTTAGACATTTTTGCACATTGATTAAAAATCAAAAACTGGATGTCAGGACAGAAACTCTCTGTAAGACCTCCATGATAAATGTGTGGTGAGACATGGATTAGAGCAAGGGTGTAAAGTGTCCTCAATATGAAATGGAAAATAATTACAACCACAAGGACTCCTCCTGAGCTCCCAGGCAAGAAGAGCCAAGAGCCCAACAGTCAGACGTCTTCTGCAGAGATTGAAGACGACCATCAATCACACCTTTATGGTAGAGCGGTTGGACGAAAACACTTTGAGTACAAGGCTGTTTAACAGCCTTTGAAGGACTCTGAGATCAAGAGAAACAAGATTCTGTTTTCTGAAACTACTGGACGCCTGACAGCCAATCAGTATTGAGAATTCTCAGTGACCAAGGTTAAAGTATAAAAGGGTTTATTATTTAATTGTTTTGTTTTTTATGCCGCCACTAACCAGAGCCAGAGCCATAGTGTTTTCAGGTTGACCCTCCGTCCTCCGCACTTAAATTTGGCACAAACATTCACTTGGACTCAGGGGTGAACTTATAAAATTTTGGTGGCTTAAGGGTCAAAGGTCATGGTGAGCTCACGCTCTTGTGAATGCAATATACAGTATCAGGAACTCAGAAATTCATGCACTAATTATGACAATTTAACTCAAATGTCTATGAGGATATTGGATAATGACAGGATGATGACATTTTTTATCCAAAGGGTCAGAGGTCAACTTCACTGTGACATCAAAGTGTTCTGCAAAACCACTTCTGGTCATTATTCAATGCTGTAACTACAACCACAACGTGGTAATTCTAGTTCCTGTATGATCCTAAATGAGTCTCACTCTGTCTAAAATTCGGAGGAGTTTTTGAGATTGTCTGATACGTTCATCAGAGTTTGACTGAGTTAAAACATTCATGATGATCATAAACATAGCACTCAGTACAGGAAGTGTGACAGGTGGATAGCGTCATGGTGCTGAGGTTTCCTGTGTGAAAGGACCTTTTCATGGGGCTGAAACAAGCTCAGTTAACTTCTGTTTTTCAGAAAAAAAAATATTAAACACATTTTTTAAGCACTGGCTATGAAAAATCAAAAGGATGAACACTCAACAAATAAAACGCATCTTATGAGTCATAAACACTTTTAAAAAATAATTAAGTTCACGGAGTCAATAAACTGAAGGTATACAGTCTTACAAGCGTTAGAGTTAAATTTACTTTTCAGTCCCATTTTCACAGTTTGAAGAGTCACTTCTTTATTTGTCACTATGGCCAAACCCAACTTCACTGGACCTAATGTAACAACAGCATGAGAGGCTGCTCCCGGTGTTCAGGGGTAACTGCACACTAACCGTCATCACTGCTAGCTGCGTTTTATTAATATATCTAATACGAATTAATCAATATTTAATAATGAAAACTTTGACTTTTCATCCAGCGCCATCATCAGGTCAGAGGATAAGCATGAATGACCGAACCACATTTTATGGCAGTCCATTCTGAGCCTCAGTGACCCATCAACTAAATGACTGTGAATATCAATCATTCACACCTCTGGTTAATCAAATGTCCCAAACCCAACAACTACTCAATTTTCTGTATGGATAAAACACAGTGATGGTTCATTCTAACTCATATAATTTTAACATTAAACTTTTAATGCTCATTTAATGTATAAAACAACACAACAACTGAATAGGTGCCTTAAAAAACTACAGGTCAAGTTACTAAATTAGTAAAAAAAAAAAAGGGTTTTAACTAATCACTTCATATCCGTTTAAAACACACTTAACACTTCAACAGAGTAAAATCCTCGAACGAGCAGGGAATCACAATGTTCTCCTCCTGGTTTAGTGTTTACAGCTGGTCCGAAATGATGACGTCGTTTATTCTGTTTGGTCAGTAATCATCAAAAACATCAACAAAATCTCTGACTGTTTGGAACAATTTCAAAAGCTCTGGGTTTCACTCACCGAGGAGCAGAGAGGCAGATGAAACCTTCATGTCGTCTGGATGTTGACTAACTGTCAAACGGTCTGAATAGCGGTGTGATGTCCTGAGCCTCGATCACCACTTCCTTTTAAAAAGCCTCAACATGTCGCAGGTTGTGCTCTGTACAGAAGCAGCAACCTTATGGTTGCATGAGGCCGGGCGACATGATGAAGTGGAATTCAGGCATGCAGGTGAGATGTTAAACTTCAGCTGATACATATATTACACGTGGCATTTTGCTTTGTTTTCACACAAGCCAATGAGTCAGGTGAATATGCAACATTTTTTCTCATGTTGTGAAAACTCCTCATATTTAGCCAATTGTTACCCAGTTAGCAACATGTTCCGGTGAACGCTTCTAGCCCAGTATACGCTGGGTCTTCTGCCCTAGTCTGGCCCATACACTTCCATATTTGGCCTGATTCTGGCTGTTACCCTCCACTGTTGACTGACAGTAAAACTTTCTGTGTGTGCACCAGAATTGGCCCAGATCTGGAAGTAGAATCTGACAGTGGTCCAATGGTCGGACTTGGGTTAGGGGCGTATTTTGAGACAGTAGAAACACAAATATTTGGCCAAAAGTATTTGCCAGAAAAATTGTGCTGCCTGGGTAGCCAAGAATACAGAATGTTAAAGGT